TATATATATATACATATATATAAACTTCACAACTAGCGTTGCAACGAAGATCATCATTCTTGGGTTGAAAACTAAACAAAATGTAGTAACTCTTGTTCCACTTTCATGACAACTGCAGACGTTTCGAGAGTATTTTCACCCAATATACAACTTTAATATATACAATCAGTAATGCAAATTACAAACATAAAGAAATACAATCATTTACATTATAATTAGTTGAATCACAAAAGGTAAATATCACAGAAATGTCAAATGTACAATAAATTTATTGTAAATTTGACATTTCTGTGATATTTTCCTTTTGTGATTCAACTTTGCTATTACAATTTAGATGAAATGTTTTGTGCCTTAAGTCATTTATTGAGTGCTTGCATTGTTCCTATGTACATGTACAAATGATTTTTTATTAGTATTGCATTAATTTGCCCTCTACACTTATTCTTACTTAACATGTAAATTTTTAGTTTGTCCCAACATTTGTCATTTTAACTAAGGATAATCTAAATGATTGTATTTGTATATGTTTGTAATTTACATTATTGATTCTACATATTAAAATTGTATATTGTCCATCTTACAGTGCATTGATAATGGGTGAAAGTACTCCCGAAACGTCTGCAGTTGTCATTAAAGTGGACCAAGAATGATTACATTTTGTTTAGTTTTCAACCCAAGAATGATGATCTTTGTTGCATAGCTAGTTGTGAAGTTTCTATTGTTCTATATATATATATATATATATATATATATATATATATATATATATATATATATATATATATATATATATATATATATAATATGTGTGTGTGTGTGTGTGTGTGTGTGTGTGTGTGTGTGTGTGTGTGTGTGTATAAATGTGTGTATATATATATATATATATATATATATATATATATATATATATATATATATATATATATATATATATATATATATATATATAAATATATATATATATATATATATATATATATATATATATATATATATATATATATATATATATATATATATGTGTGTGTGTGTGTGTGTGTGTGTGTATGTGTGTGTGTGTGTGTGTGTGTATGTATGTATGTATATGTAAATATGTGGAATACATGATGAACAGATTGCAACAGGAACAACGAAAGGAAGTACAAGAAAACATATAATATATAAATATATATATATATATATATATATATATATATATAATATATATATATATATATATATATATATATATATATATATATATATATATATATATATATATATATATATATATATATATATATATATATATATATATATATATATATATATATATATATACATACATACATATTTATATATATAACGCAAGAGGCGACGCTACACGATCCGCGCACACGGAGAGTCCCACCATCGCGGCGGCACAATAACTCCCCAAACTTATTGTTTCTGCCCGAGACCTCCCCGGGGGCCAGAGACCTTCCCCCCCCTCCCGTCCCCTCCCCTCCCTCCCGACCCCTTCCGTCCCCACCCGTCCCCCTCCCGTCCCCTCGCCCCGCCCCTCCCGCCCTCCCGCCCCCTCGCCTTCCCGTCCCCTCAGAAGATAAATATATCCGCACGTCTGAAGGCTTTTATGATTATTTCTGTTCCCTTCTTCGGCCGCTGGTATCCGCGACCATTAACCAGAAAGAATCTCCTCCTATCCGGTGTCTTCGGGTTTGAAAATGGAATACATTAACGTGTTGCGTAATATGCGCGATGCGGATTTGCGATCGTTTTTCTCTTCTTTTCTCTCTCTTCCTTATTTTTTTCTTTCTTTTTTTCTCTTTGCACATACCTCTCCTTTGATAAATAATAATAATAATAATAATAAATAGAATAAAAAACATACAATAGATGGGCTATATAAATCCTTGGAACACTACATGCTGCTAAAGACCACGACGATTGTCATTTGTCTAAAAAAAACACCCTTCGTGCGACCGAATCCTCCCGCAAGAGAATCGGATACCCCGATCCGTGCGCGCGAAGAGGATCCGATCGACCGCCGCCATTACCGATTGCCGCCATTAAACCCCATCGACGTTACAAGCAACGCTCATGTCGCCGCTCCCTCTCCCGCGTAGGTTGATTCTGCAAATTGCAAATGCATATTTAGGTCGAGGAATGGAAACGCAGTTTATGGGTTAAAGCGCCTGATTTATGGCTCGGTTTAATTCCGCCGAAAGACAGACTAATGATGCTGTTTATCCTACCTTCATCTCGTACGTGTTGGCGGCTGCGGCTGAAGTGAAAGGCATTCGGATCGCATGATAAGTGTGCGGCTTGGTTTAGGGGAAGATATTTTTTCTTTCTCTCTCTTTTTTCTCTTCTTTATTTTCTCTCCTCTCTCTTCTCTCTCTCTCTCTCTCTCTCTCTCTCTCTCTCTCTCTCTCTCTCTCTCTCTCTCTCTCTCTCTCTCTCTCTCTCTCTCTCTCTCTCTTTACTCTCTCTCTCTCTCTCTCTCTCTTTATCTCTCTCTCTCTCTTTTCTCTATCCTCTCTCTCTCTCTCTCTCCTCTTCTCTCTCTCTCTCTCTCTCTCTCTCTCTCTCTCTTCTCTTTCTCTCTCTCTCTTCTCTCTCTCTACTCTCTCTCTCTCTCTCTCTCTCTCTCTCTCTAATCTTTATCTTCATCTCTCTCTCTCTCTCTCTGCTTTATCTTTATTTTCCAACCTGCTTCTAATCTGTTCTGATTCATCACTGTCATCTACCGTTTTATATATTTACTTCCTTGTTTTGTTTATCTGATAAGAATGATTAACCTAGTGATTTATATTTTATGTATTTCATTCTTATGTCATCTTTTTGATTTCCCATAGCTTATATAATCTCACATTTTCTTAATAATGATAATGATAATAATGATGATTACACTAATAATGATGATAATTACTATTACAAATGATAATAATAATGACAATAATAATGATAAAAATAAAGATAATAATAATAATAATAATAATAATAATAATAATAATAATAATAATAAAATAATGATAAACAATGATGATAATGATAGTTGTAATAGTTATGATAAAAAAGATAGTGATAATAATAATGATAGAAAATATAGTATTATCAATGATAATGATGATAATATTAGTAATAACAATGACAGTGATAATAATTACGATAATGATATT